ACTCTCTTCTTCACCTGGTCAGGTGTTGCCATGGAAGTGTGCCCATGAGCAGTGCTGACCTGGTGTTTCCAATCAGCCTCATAAGGGAAATCTACATTGACTGAGGTTGGGGAGATGTTTTGTTTGGATTTGGGGTATTGTTTAGCTTCAATTTGTTTAAGGTTCATTGTAAAGGGTTTTTTTCTTTGTTGTTTATTTTTTTATTTTCCTCTAGAGGTTTAATTTAGCTGGCTGTTCGCCAAATAGAAAATGTAAATGTTGTCAAAGTTTCCACCCCTTTTATTAGAGATAGTACAGGCTGATGCGTTAGAGCAGTGTTTTTCAACCCTGGTTCTCAAGGCACCCTGCCCTGCATGTTTTAGATGTTTCCCAGCTTTCACACACCTGTTATCAATTCATAGCAGATTATCAGGCTTTGCTGAACTGTAATCATCTGAATCAGGTGCGCTGAAGCTCAGAAACATCCAAAACATGTAGAGCAGGATGCCTTGAGGACCAGGGTTGAAAAACACTGCTTTAGAGAGCTGGGTTGTTTAAATGTGGGTGTGTCTTTTTTTAAGCTTCTGCTGTGATTGAAGAAAGTGGAACCCCTGCTCCTCTCTTTTAAAATGTAACAAGTTTTATATTATATACATAAAAACAGAGTTCTACAATTTTTGGAGCCAGTCAGATTTTTTTTCTTTTGGTATGTTGTCTTTGCCTCACTGGCCATTTTTAAGTCCACCAGGGTTCTTCCTCTGTCTGCAAACCTTACAGTTAGTGAGTCAGATATGAGGCCAGTAATGTTTAATTTAATGGATTAATTGATTCCGATTAATTGTTTCAGACCAGATGCATTTTTATCTCCTCTGACCAGAAGTTCTTGTTTGGCAAGGATGATAGGCTGTAGAATAAATTATTAAACTAAACCTTCAACAAGGTTACATCATCCACAATTCTTTGTATTACACTGGAAAAGCCTGTTTTCCCCTTAAAAAAACCTGCCAGGATTTAAATTTCTTAAAAATAAAAGAGTGAGTTTCCACCACATGGGGAAAAAATAAAAAATAAGGAGCTTAATAGTTGCGTTTTACTGTACCTGACTCTGCTTGCATCCGAGCTGCCTTGGCTTTCGCCAGCTCCAGGGCAGTGATCCACCGCTGACGCTCCACCTCTGAGCTGGCCTTCAGGTGATAGGTCTGAGCGCCGCCGTTAGTGATGACAAAGTTGCAGGCATCATCTACTGAGATGGCTGCTGTGGCCAAGTTGATCGTGCCCCGACATGTGTGACCCATCTCGGCCTGGGTCCTAATAGACAGAAGATCTAATGTTGACTTCTGGACAATGAATGCAAGAACTTTCACTTCAATACCTAAATTTGATAAAAAATAAAGGCACACAGTGTAACTTTTGGTCACTAGCGCTAGACCTGTAACTTTCGCCCCTAGTGGCCACAAGGACTTCAGTATTGTTGCAAAAATCAACGGTCAGCCAGCCAGCCTATTAAGTCTTTTGATTGCGGATGCACTAGGCGTCTAGGTTCAGCTCAGAGGGCATGAAAACATTGCTGCTCTCTGGAGAGTACTGCCGGGACAAACTGGACCACACTGATTGGTGCCGGGGGACCAGCAGCGGAGCTCCAGCGAAGAGCCACTGGGTCAGACAGGGAGTTCTTCCAGGTCAACAGCAGTGCATCTTCTCCCAACTTACATAGTCGGTATTTCAAGAGGCGAGCCCCATTCGTAGCTTTGATAGTCTCAAGCATTATACATTGGCCTGAGGAATCATTTAAAATATCTCGTATGCATCAACTCTTTAGGTCACAAAGTCCTTGGTGTGCCTTTAAATTTTGCTTTAGATGTAGGATTTACAACTGTTGCAGTTTAATCTGACTAACATAAACAAGGGAGAAATGATTGGATGGGATGAATAAGATATTAGAGAGAATAACTTAGGTGTATCTGACAGAGCTATGCTTTCATGTGGGAATCCTTACCTGTAGTATGACAGCAAGCCATTGCTCAAGACAAACCACCTCCTCTGATAACCTTTGATGTAATTTGTCCACTTGAAGACCCATCCTTTGTACGTGTCGCCAGCAGGGGTGGGAGTAGGGCTCTTGGGTTCTGACATCACACCCCCCCCAAAATCAGAGTTCTGATTTGAGAAACCTTAAAGGAAAGAAGTCCAAAAAGTTAAACATTTAGATTGAAAGATTAATAAAAAACTTTAAAGGATAAATAACAGCAGCAGAGATTTGCTTTCAAAGAACGACAATGATCCAGAAGATAGACACACTTCCGACACATCAAGAAGACTTCAAGGTTTCATTGGGAGTAAAAAAGAAAAAATGTGCTGAATGAGTTTTTTTTTAGCAGTGGTAGTCAAATTTTTTTCTCTAGATGGGCTAAGTGTGGATGTGTGCATGTTTCACTTCTCTGTTTGGGGACCAGAACAGGCAGGTCAATAACCCCTCAATCCAAACAAGAGGACTGAAGAATCACATTTTAAAACGAGATATTAAAGAAATACTAATCACTTCTTTCTCTGCTATTTTATAATTTAGCTTCTTATTTTTACAGCTATTTGTAAATATACATTTCTTCTCAAATATGTGTCAATCTTTACCTACACTAGAGATGTTTCATAATTTCTTTAAAAAACTGATGGGGTTGTGAAAACATCTAGTGATAGGATGTTTCTTTAAGTCATTTTGGCTCCGTTCACACTCAATTACCATTTTTTCCAAAAACCCGATTTTTTTTTTTTCCGTTGCCATTCACATTTCCAAATATATGCGACTTGTATGTGATCTCCTGTGTGAACTGTAATCATACAACGCAATTGTCCTGCATTTGCAGTAGAGAACGCAATGACGTCACAGGCCAGCGTGCTCTGTGTTTACAGAAGTAAACATGGATGGTAGTGCTGGAGAACATCTAGCGATCTTTTCCAACCATAAAAACACAATGTTTTCAAGATGGTTAAACATAAATACTGCTCCCCGCATCACCGTCTGCTATGGGTTTTTTTTTTCTTGCCGCTTCTTCATAGCATAACCCAGAATATTGACCTTTGTCGGGTATTAATGGCGTTCAGGTCGGATAAATGTGACCTGGCCATTCAGACACAGGTCGCATTTGAAAAGATCAGATTCGTATCAGATTCAGGACCACATATCCAAGTGGCCTGGTTTGCATTAGGGGTGTGCAAAATAATCGTCATGATGATGCATAGTGATTCTAATTTTCGTGATATACTGCATCGATTCTTGACGCCAAGTATCGATTATTAATTTAAAAAAATTAATAAATAAAATTGCATGAATGGTTGGCGAACATCAGCCAAAAACAAGTGTAATACAACTTCCAGTCCAATAGATGTCGCTGCGGATGTGTTGACGCACGCTGCCTTGTGTCACAAGCATTTCCGGCCGCGGGATACTGCGCCGAGTCATTCAAAAACAAAACATGGAGGAGAAAATATTGCAATGCATCGCAATAATTCAAGTATCGTGATGCATCGTGATAGAATCGCATCGTGGCCTATGAATCGTGATTCGAATCGAATCGTGACTTCTTTGGCAATACCCACCCCTAGTTTGCATTGGAAAAAATCGGATCTGTGTTGTTCAGACTGACATGAAAAGATCAGATCCAGGTCGGATTTGGGCAAATAAATTGGATTTGGGTCACTTCAGGCTGCAGTGTGAACGTAGCCTAAGTCTAGATCAGAGGTCATAACCTCTCACTGTTGGCTGCTAACAGATATCAGCTGATGGAGCACATAACATCAAATGTCGAAAAAATTGATTTGTGTCTCTAAAGTATACAATGAAATTAATGTGAGGTAGATTTTATTATAAGGCACTGCTATCACATTTTACAGTACTTGATGATTGCAGGGGACGGCTTTACAAAATTACAGATGGGAAATCACACTTGAAAAAACTTATTGCAACATATTGTCTTTAAAACAAAAGCTAAGAAAATTTAACAAGGAAAAATATGTCAAATCACCATCAAAAAGATTATTTAGTACTTCAGGAGCAAGATCAGTTTCTTTAAGATTGAGTAATTGTAGCAGGTTTAGGTGGATTTGCAACCAGCACATACACACATTTTTAAGGGTATAAAATGTACTCATTTATAGCTATTTCATGTAGCTTTGAAACAGTAATGGGACTAAGTTCATTCCAGGCTTATGGATGCATTCACCTTGTTGTTCTAAACATGTCATAAATCTGCTTTTTAAGAAATGTTCTATTTAATTTCCTACTCGAGTCTCTCTTTTTTTGTGTGTGTGAACTGATTTTTTTTTTATCCTTTAAGGAAATAGCTCATGGTTATTTTAACTGATCTTTAAAGGTAGAATCAGGGGTCAAAGGTTAAATGAGGAATCAATGCACACATTCACATTTGTCAATTCATGCTCACATTAGCCTTAAAACTCTAAGTAGCTACTAATAAGCAGGAAGCTAGCTTAATCATTTCATCAAGTCTTACACTAGTTAGTCTTGAATTAAAAAAGGTTATCTTTTTACATCACTGAAAGCGTTTTTAAAGCAGAATATTGAAATTATTTTAATGAAAATGGGACAAACGTAAGAGAAAGCAGGTCCCGCAGCACCAACAAAAAACAAATAAACCAGCAATGAAAGGTTTTCAAATGATTTGTTCAAAAGCAACGAGCCTGACATGTAGGAGCTAGCCTGACAACAGATTAAAAACTTTTAAAAAAATCTCCGCTGATATCAACTCACAGCTAATATGTGCAAATGTCGAGAAACATAAGCCGACACATTTGATCGAAGTTCACAAGCTGACATTACAGTAATGCGGGCGAAATACCCAGAGGAATATTCATTTGCTGAGAACTAGCTAGCTCAAATATTCGCTGGCGGCTGTATGTTTACCTTGACGTGTCCAAAATGCCAGATGAGGAAACCAGACAGGCAGTGAAGTCACTGCTAACTCTGACACCCCATACGCTAGCAGGCTAGCCGAGCTAGCTCAGGCTAACACTGCAAGATTAAAGCTGGGGGGGAAAAGTCCAGGACGTTGACGACAACAGCGATGAAGTGTTATTACAGTCCTACAGGCGTGCTGTTTGTAATGTCCGCCGCACTGCTGCGCACAATTAGAAAGATCTAAAGCTAGCTTGCTACATCTAACTAGCCTAACATTAGCTTGTAGGAGTCAACCGGTGCAACTTGATTAATGCCCGTGTGGAAACCTGGTTACTTTCCCTCAATTATCGCTATCAAAAAAGTTAATCTATGTACAAAATTGGTGTTTGGCTTATGTTAGTATATATAAATATACCTTAAACTTAATGCAGTATCGGTATAAACATTGGTTAACGTTATTTTACTGTGGACGTCTGTAAAAAGACCAGAGTTATAAACTCTTATTTGGCCAGCCTAGTCATAGAATATGATAAAATGGCTTCCACTGAACAGTTTTTATAGACGGTTACTGCAGTAGATCATTATTATAAAGAAAGTGGGGGAAAAAACTGCTATTTGATCGCAAGGTCGATTCATACTATTTTACGAATTAAAAAAGCTACGAAAAGATTATAGACCAACAGCCATTGTAAAATAAAAATTGGAAGTTACTTTAGAACTTAAACATACACAGATGATACTAAGGTTTGAAAAAAGTTGTTTCAATTCCTCATTAAAAAGCGACTCCGGTGGGACTCGAACCCACAACCTTTGAATCACTTAGTATATGCCTAGAAGTCCAATGCGCTATCCATTGCGCCACGGAGCCACCTGTTGATACAGCACGACAGAATTGCATATAAATCAAAAATAATACTTATTGTTTGAAAAACTGATACTTTAATCATTTATTTACGCGGTTATAACCCTTTGTAAAAATGTTAGTGAGAGTATTCCTTTCAGAATTCAGCTCTATTAGTTGCTAACGGAGTACTACTTGTCCACCCATTATGAAACACAAGATGGCGCTAGTCCATTACAGTAAGAAACCGATATATATATTTTTAACCATCTGTTTATATTAATGTTTTCACTTCCAATTACTGGATTTACCTGTCACATATTATTGGCATAATAATTAAAGAAGGTGCAAACAAGGAGGAAAAATGTGCATTAAGAGTAAACAAAATACAGTATATCAAGGTATATACAGTACATCAAGATAAATAGGATTAAGGTGCAAGTGTACTTATTATTATTATTATTATCTCTACATGAGGTTTTATGGTGTGTTTTAAATTTTTGGTGTATTCAAGTCATGTCTAGCTTATTTTGACATGACCGTAATTTCAAATAATCAAATTTCACAAGGTGTTTTTCAACCTTTTCCAGAAGCCCTATTACTACTCACTGGTATACATTAATGTTGTTAGATTATCAAACCTGACATAGATGCAGTCAATGGTTTTATATACTATCATCAAAAAGTCAATCAAATGCAGTTACTGATCTAAAAAGGTGCAATAAATACACAGAGAAAACTGTAATAAGCTCTGAAATAGCCCAGAGCAGGAGTCACCAACCTTTTTAAGGCTGGGGGCCATAGGAGGTACTGACCTATGAACTGGCGGGGTCAACGCTCACCTAAACATCATTAATAATAAACATATTTCTATTAGTTTTTTTAATATGATGAAATGCTCAATAAATTATACAAAAGCTAGAGCAACTTTATTTCTTTCTTTCTTACTTACTTATTTGTCTTTCTTACTTTCTGTTAGGATTATTGTTATTGAGGATGTGTGAGCATGCTAAACAAATAAACTCTGCAACTCGGGGAGAGTGCAATTTAGACCTGCTTTACTCTAAAATCAAAGATGCATTCAGAGCAGCTCCCACCTCGGGTCATCAGATAACCTCTCTGTCATGCAAATTCCTGCATACATCCCCAGCTAATCAAGGCTAAACCGACAGACAAATTAATCAAAGTATGGTGCAAAGGGGCCATGGAGAAACTACAAGACTGCTTTGAATGCTCTGACTGGAATATCCTCAAGACTGCAGCAAGATATGATAACAGAATATAGATGACTATGCCATGACTGTGTCAGCCTACATCAACAAATGCTTTGAGGACATCACCATCTGGGCAAACCAAGCACCCTGGATGAATGGAGAGGTTCAGGTATTGCTAAAAGCACAGAACTCAGCTTTGAAGTGTGATGATAAAGAGGCACTAAGAACAGCATGTTTCAACTTAAACCGTGCCATCAGATCAGTGAAGCTGAACCACAGCCAGAAGATCCAGGATCTTTTCCACGATAACAGAAACACCAGGGGGATGTGGAAAGGCATTTGGATGATCACAGACTACAACACACCCTCCCCCTCCAGTAGATTCAGCAAACACTGACTTCCTAAATGAACTGAACAACTTCTTTGGAAGGTTTGAGGCACTAAACAGCACTCCAGCAGTGAAAGCTGTTCCACACCAGGGGGAGGAGACACTAACCCTGGTGAGGAAAACTCTGAGAAGAGTCAACCCAAGGAAGGCCCCAGGGCCCGATAACATACCTGGGCAGGTTTATAAGGGGTGTGCAGATCGGCTGGCTGGTGTTCTCACATATTAAAAACCTCGCTGGAGGTTTTAAATCCATAGTGCCAATCCATAGTTCAATCCATAGTGCCAGCATTCTTCAAGTCTGCCAACATCATTCTGTTCCCAAAGAAGCATCAGGTCATCTAACTGAATGATTACTGGCCTGTACTGACTCCAATCATTATTAAGTGCTTCATAAAGGCTGTTTAAAGAACACATCGTCTCCGGTCTCCCCCCAACATTCGACCCGTTTCAGTTCGCCTACCAACGGAACTGCTCCACTGAGGAAGCCGTCTCCTCTGCTCTCCACCTGAGCCTGGCACACCTTGAGGAGAAGAACACCCATGTGTGGATGCTGTTCCTGAACCTCAGTTCATCTTTCAACACCATCATCCCACAGCATCTGATGGGCAAACTAAAAAAGCTAGGATTCAATATATCCCTCCACAATTGGCTGCTAGAATTCCTCAACAACAGACCTCAGTCAATCTGGGTTGGACAGAACACCTCTGATGTCATCACCTTAAGCACAGGCTCCCCTCAAGGCTGCATCCTGAGCCCCCTGCTGTTCACCCTGATGACACATGACTGCATCCCCAGGTTCACCACCAATCACATCGTGAGGTTTGCAGACGACACCACGGTGGTGGGCCTCATCAGAGACGACAACGACCTGGACTACAGAGAGGAGGTGGAGCAGCTGGTGGACTGGTGCAGAGATAACAGCCTGATCCTAAACGTGGAGAAGACGAAGGAGGTCATGTTGGAGTTTAGTAAGAACCCGCCTAACCACGCTCCACTGCTCATCAACAGCTCAGCTGTTGAGGTGGTCAGCAACACCAAATTACTGGGGGTGCGCATTACAGACAACCTCACCTGGAGTGTAAATACCACCTCACTGATCAAAAGGGCACAGAAACACATGTACTTCCTGCAGAGGATGAAGAAAGCCCACCTGCCCACACCCATCCTCACGATCTACAGAAGCACCATAGAGAGCATTCTGACCAGCTGTCTCACTGTGTGGTGTGGAGGCTGCAGCGCCTCAGACTGGAAGAAAGTGAGAAGAGTGGTAAGAACAGCAGAGAAGATCATTGGGCCGTGCAACAAACTATATTATAATAAAACTAAAATGCTTTCTTTAAACCAAACTACGATGTTCCTCTTATATTTGCCGAATTTATGTTAGAATATTTTGCAAAAATATGTTGCGGTACATGATGGGGTTTTGCATCTAATGGCTAATGTTTCCTGTCTTATGTGCATTGTTGCCAGGTTGGGGTGTTTCCCAATCTCCTCAAGTTGAAGATAGATCACTTAATCCACAATGTGTATTTGGATTGCGTTTCACATTTTAGACGCACACGTTTGACTGTGCTTCTATCTACTGGAACTCCATTCCAGTAGGTGGCGGTAATACACATCAATAAGTTGCTTGCCTTAAGCCATAAAAAAAAAAAGAAGAAGAACATCTCATCAGAAAATCAGTATTAAATAGAATCATTAATGAGAGATACAGAAGGGAAGAAGTAATAATGATTAGATTAAGAGTGGGTCATACCTATTTAAATGACAATTTATATTTAATAGGAAGGAAAAATAAAGAAAATAAAGGATGTGGAGGAAAAGGAAAATATAGAACATGTACTGATGAACTGTAAAACATATGAACATGAAGGGAGAAATTGAGAGGGATGGTTGGAAGGACAGACCAAGATTGGATTCTTAAAAGAATATAATGAAATTAAGGAAATATCAAGGATATTCACAGCTTAAGGAAAGCATTGTTTATTTATCTACAGAATACAAAATTTAATAAATATAGAATTTGATGTAAAGTAATGTTGCTACACACTCATGTACAGTAGGTGGCGGTATGCACCTTAAAGTTGCTTGCGATGAGCCATAACAGAAAAGAAGAAGAAAAACATCTCACCAGACAGGAAAACAAATGGGAGATATCTATCTTGTCATCCAAACGGATCTTTGATGTGTCCTCCCAGGAGCGGAAGCATCCGGGATTCCGCTCAATCCATCGCTCCAAACCAACCAGACGCTTGCAGGGTGACGGAGCGTTTGTGTTTCTTCTCAACAGAGGGGCTCCCTTTCCTTTAAGCCTCGCTTTGCACCATTTATTCAGGCTTTATCAGCGCGGGACATGCTCTTTGAGGTTTGAACGTCTCCTTTAACGCAATAGAGGTGAAACAAAGCCAAGCAGGATGCTTTAAATGCATGCAATCTATGGAAATATCAGAAGTATCTGCATTTTTATCCGCCTTCATTCTTTATTCCAGGTCTTTGCAATAGTCGCCTGCTGCCTGGACGTTGGAGGGGATTAAGTTACTGCTGCTGGCGGAGGATTATTTTATTGGCCTCCTGTCACGCCTGCAGCCAGGCTTTGGTGATCCTGTTTCCAATTAAGAACGGAGGGAAAAAAAACAAAGAAGAAGGTATGTTTGTCCTGGAAAATAAACGGAGCGTTCCTCTTTAAAAAGAAACGCCTGCCTCATTGTGGGTTTAACTGCGCTGTGACGCCCATCCTTTGTTGCTCATTCACTCTGCAGGCAGACAGGCTGAATCTAGATGCATGTTTATATCAGCATTTATTTATTAGGATAGAGCTAAATTAAGAAAAACAATAAGAATTGATGTATTCAGTGTAATGGTAATACAACTATAATAAAATAATAATTAATATTAGAGGCGTTTGAAGTAAAGTTATTATTTTTCTTTTTAATTTGCCAAAGCACCGCCTTATTTTTTTCAAATAACAGACGCAAAATTCTTTTTTTTATTTTTTATTTAATATTTATTTGCAATAGTGAAACATTACAAATGTATAGTCAGAAATTTTAATAAGAGTTGCCAGGTAATAACCAATGTATACTAAGGGGGGGCCAAAAGTGGATAGGCCCCCCAGAACCTCAGGGTCAATCTGAAGCATAACGCCCATGTTCCTAAATAAAGACAAACTATGCAAATAGATGCATATATTTAAACATCTGTGTAGATAAAAGGTATAGTGGATAAAATTCTTTACTAGTTTTATCAATATCATGCTGCATTACATTGATATTTACAAGCACTAACATCTACATAAATTGATAATTTAATAAGATTTTATTAAAATAGTTATTTACAGTATCTATGATTTCACTGAAGACCCTTAGATGACTTGCAGAGTCATATCATTTTGTCTTTATGTCATTAAAACAAAATCTAGTTCTGAAAGAGCAGGAATTCTGTACTAATTATCTCTAATGTAGGTATATTGATGTGCATTATTAACCACAGTGTTTTTGTTGTCAACTAATTGTTAATATATATAAATTAAATTGTTTTGAATATTCTACTTGAGAGAAAATAAAATGGTAGGGGTGGCCAATGATTGGCTAAGGGTGGCTATGGCCACCCCTGGCCCCCCATCTAGCTCCGCCTCTGCTCTTTCTGGCTAAAACAAAGAGCGTCTGTAAAGGTCAGCTTTATTTCACTCCAGTTTAGGCCTGGGTTTCAACTCATCCTTTCTAGCTGGTTGTGCAGGATGCATTTTCAGTGTGTACTGTACTGTTGTCCCAGAGGACTTTTTCTGCCTGACGTAGTGGTTTTGTCGCCACAATTTTTCACCATATACATCACCATAGCAAGATGATGCTCTGGTTGTATGTTTGGAGTTGTGGTCTTTGATGATTTTGCAGCCTCTAAAAGAAATTCCTGTCATTTTCTCACACACGCTTCCCTTATCTTGCTAAAAAACATCTTTCCCACAGCATGATCATGCCAGTACCGTGCGTAAGCATGTGGAATGTGTGTGGAATGTTCGTTTGAAGCATTTAGGCTAAAATGTGTGGTTCTCATCTGACCAAGGCATATTTTTTCTTCTTAGCTGTGTTCCCTGTATCACTTGTGACAAATTATGGTTATAGTGGCTTTCTTCTTGTGGCTCTCTTGTATGAACCCCTGGTTTGGGAATTTTATGATTTCACAGTCGATCTGTTACCAAAATCATCTTTATTGATGCTCTTCTTGCGCAGTGTAGCAGTTTAGGTGAAGGCCACATTTTAGGTATACAGCCGTGCATTAATTATTCTATTTTCAATTCCTCTGATAAAGGTTATACATTTTTCATATTTTCATGTGAAACGACCCTGCTTTAAAAATCTGCACAACTTCTTTTGTACTGTAAAAACTGTAAATATTGATGTAAAGATATGTAAACAATTTATTAACGATTAGTTGTCTCTCATTTGAGCAGGTAAGTAAAATAATTTGCCAATGATGTAGCTACTGCTCTGGAAATATGATTTTGTTTCATATTTTTCATATTTTACATCCAAAAATCATATTTTATTGGAAGATCACTTTACAAATCTCGATTGAAGATACACCAATGTCACTTTTAGTTAATTTTTTTAGATTCTGCTCCCCAAGACGTTGTTTTTTTCCACTAATGTCTTTCTAACCAACTTCTGAGGTCGGAACAGAACAGCTGGATTTATGATCAAATAAAAGCGCACACAGCTGGATTCTATTAACTGTTCAAGGAACTTTTGGGAGAAACTGGCTGCGTTGGATTTTTTTTTAAGGGGTACAGAAAGGGGCTAATAGAAATATGTGCATTCGCTTTCAAACTTCTGCACTAGAAGCTTTATTGTCATTGTACAGGATACAGCACTTTTTTCCACCATCACACAAAAACCTTGTAAGAAATTTAAAGGTTTGCGGGGTTTTTTGGTGGCAAAAAGTAAAAAAAAAAGAAAAACATAAATTATTGTAGCTATATGAATAATTGTGTGACCTGCTGCAGACTGCGTCCCTCATGTCTAATGAATATGTAGCTGTGTGAGCTGTGAAGCATTAGCTGGATGTCAGCAGCTTCCACTGCCCAACCCCCCCTTCCTTCCACTGGCACAGCATGTTTTGGTCCCATGCAGCCCCGCTTTCCCTCACTCTGCCTTCAGCTGTACTTTCCCAGGACAAAGTCTAAACCAAAGAATTTGCCTGCTGTTTATACAGCCCAGTTTGTTCACTCAGACAGACAGAAAGATGATAAGGGTTCCTTTAAATCACACAAAACTCCAATCCTATAGGGCTGGTGCCTCTGCTTCAGCACAACGGAAACAGATAATTAGGACATTAGCAGGACTCTGTAAACTTCCCTATAATGAAAAGTTAAAGGACGCGAGACCATAAAAAGCAGGACATTTTTTTATATATATATTTTCTATAAAGATAGCCATTGCTTTTGACTTAAAGCCTTAACTAAGATAAATAGACAACTTTTAGTAGAAAGTTAATTAAAAACAATAGTTTAATTTGGCGATTTCTCTTGAGTTTAATACCTCCAGACTAATACCTTTGCATACTACATAGTAGATGGAAATACCCTGGAATCTTCATGATATTATTGTTGAAAATATACAGTTAGACCTGGGATGTACTTGTCTGATATTGAAGATTTCCATATCGGCCAAAAAAATGAATATCGACCTGCATCTAAAATCTCTGATGTAAGTAAGCAGATAGAAACACTTTGCTTCTGTTAAATCTTTATCCAAACCATCAGTTATCAATAAATGGAGCAGTTGTTCTCATACCTGTTGTTATTGACTGTTGTTCTCTGAGTAAAGTGTTAGTTAAGTTTTTTCTAGCGTTTCAAACCTCCAAACACCTAATAAAAGTATGTAGATGCATGCTGATTTCTTATGAGGACAATATGGGCATCTAAAACAGCTGCACTATCTATTGGCAATGTTTTGCAATATCAATAATTTAGACATTTAAAGGCACACCGTGTACTTTGTGATCTAAAGAGTTGATGCGTATGAGTACTTTTAAATGATTCCTCAGGCCGATATGCAGCACTAGACACTATCAATGCTACGAGTGGCGCTCCCATCTTGAAATACCGCCTATATTAGTTGGGAGAAGACGCATCGTCATCATATGGCCGCAGGTTCTTGCATCGTCATGGAGATAAGGCTTTTGCTCTATTTTTCTGTCTGCTCGACTACTGGTCATGGCTAAGGCAAGGAAAGTTTGACATTTTGAAAGAGGGATCGTGCATGAGGAAAAGCATTAGTCGATTTTGGAAAGGAGTTTGTTTTTTTGGTGCAGGTTTGGTGTTGCACTTTATTGTTCTGATGTTTAGTAGAAGCAGAATAAGGGCATTTCCAGGTCTAGCACCCCTAGTGGGGTGTCCAATCGTCCAAAAGTTACACAATGTGCTTTTAAACATGTGATAGAAACATTTCTGAAAATGATGGATCAGAGGGTAGAGACGGCACAAGCTGCATTTTCACATTCTATTTAAGGGTTAACAAATAACTTTTTCTATTTTTTTTCTTTTGTTTTAAAAAAAATACAAAAATAATGAATAGTTTATAATTAAATGCAAAAAAATAATGTAATTCACATTAAAGGCAAGTTAAATTTATTGTCTTATGTTTAGACTTAAATTTATCTAAAAAGGAAAAATACATCGTTACAAATATTTAAAGAAATCATGTACACATTTTTCTGTGAAGAAAATTAGTGATATAAAAAAATGTGTTTTATACAAACAATAAAACCTGTTGTACAAATGGTAAGAATCCAATTATCACCTTTTTTTTTTCTACAGATTCATAATGCTTAGTTAAAAGTGAGGTCAAACTGCCTCTAACATTCGAACAAAAACTGCGGAGTCATCTCCGTTATGTCAAATGAAACAATGAAATGTATGTCTCTGATCCGTTCACAGGGATGTCTTTCCGCAGAGGTGTGGTCCGGCAGAGTAAATTCCGCCATGTTTTCGCTCAGGCCTGGAGAGCTGAGCACTGCCTGGACGACGTCAGAGTGTCCCGGGTGACGTGGGACGGCCCCCTCTGCGCGGTCAACACCAAGTTCATCGCGGTCATCATCGAAGCCGGTGGGGGAGGGGCCTTCCTGGTTGTCCCCATCAGCAAGGTTTGACCATTTGCTTTAGATTAGATAAACTGTTTATCAATACAAAGGTTTATAGCTAAAAGCTTTTCCCGGCAGATTCACAATAACATCGGCAGTTATATCCCATCTATGCATGCGCAGCACTTTTACAGGCCAAATTCCAGACAGGGTACTGAGATACAGCCTTTTAGGCCAGCGGATCAGAGCTTTTTGTTTTCTCCAAACAGAGCGGCAGAATCGACCAGTCCTGTCCCACAGTCTGCGGACATGCGGCGCCCGTTTTGGACGTCCAGTGGTGTCCTCATGATGACAACATCATCGCAAGTGCCTCAGAGGACTGCACAGTGAAGGCAGGTCTAGGTTGTGTGGAGGTGGTTTGTGGTGCTGTGTTAGATGATCAGCTTTAGGTCAAGCGTTGCCATTAGTTAATTACCACAAGTCCAGGTTTTAATATGTACAGTTATGGTTATTATTAGGGCTTCTAGAGATTCTGTCTTTAACTTTGGTTTCGCAAGAAAGCAAAAAAAAAAAAAAAGAATAAAAAATAAAAAAGCTGATTCTTATTCTGGAAAAAGTTTTTTTTGTTAGAAATAAGCTTTGGCTGCAGCAGTTTGATTTTGTAGCCTATTTATCTCATCTTCACACAGTCACAATCGCACATACAGGATCAAATATACACACAGTCACCACAATGCCAAGTCTTTTTACTAAGTGGTGTTTTAATTTGACAAGGCCACCTATTGACTTCCCGCAAGTGTTAATAATTAAGTGATTCGTTCCTGCATCACAAGCTTCAACAAAATCCACAGCCACTGATCTTCTGGAGAAAGTTTGGGCGATCAGACGAGACCAAGGTTGAGCTGTTAAACCCAAATGACTAAAAGAGTATTTAGAGGAGATAGGCTTTCAGATCTAAGCATAATAGTGTTAAGCATGATGGTGGCAGCATGGTGGTGCTATTTCTACACAAAGGCTAAATCATTAAACTCTTCAACTTAAATCATTAACAGCTTCAAATTAACATTTAATTCATGCTCGCTCAGGATCAAAGCATGTAAGATATTCATTGGAACTATGTGTGCTCATGGTTATTCTTGCAAATTTATGATCATTTCAAGTTTAGAACCTAGTTCTAAATTCTGCCGAATGTTGTTTAAAGGTGTGGCAGATCCCCGATGGTGGGCTGACCAGCCCCATGACCGACCCCATTGTGACCCTGGAGGGCCACAGTAAAAGGGTGGGAATCCTGGCTTGGCACCCATGTGCCTTCAACATCCTATTAACTGCAGGTGGGATTCCTGAAAGCTGATGTTAGACTTTGATAACTTATTTAACAGCTTATGCGCATGTTATGCATTAACTGGAAATGGCTTTTACAGATATAATTAAATCAATAAGAGGCGCATATGTTCAATTATTTCATTTTTTAACTCTGAGTTTTACTAATAAGTTAAAATCCTGTTAAAACTTTTAGTTTACCTCAACCCACTTCTGCTTCATTTGTGTGTTGCTGTGTTTCCTATTTTGGAGAGTCACTTAAACAAAACACAGCAGTCTTTCTAAAGATGACATGTTCTGTTGTCTTTCTCATTTGAAGAGTGGTGAAAACGGGTCAGATCTTGTTAATATTCCATGAAACAGAAAGTAGTGTATTTTTACATAAAATGTACCATGATCAAATTAAAATTCAGTTAAATTTCAATTCCGTTTAATTATATAAGGTCAATTCACATGTCAACACGTGTCATCTCAAGGCACCAGAAAAAACAGGGTTCACTCTATAATCTCTAAACAAAGGTGTCGATGGCAACAACACTGCTGATATTTTTCTCCAGAATGGTGTCACAGCCAAACAGGAACATTTGAGATGAATCTACAATGTTGACAAAAAGCAGAGAGAGCATAAAGTTAGAGGTTGAACTAACAAATAGTACAGAATAGAATAAAAGAGACAGAATGAAGCAGAATGATGAAAAGTGGTCCCTATGTCCTCCAGCAGTCTAAGCCTATAGCAGCATAACTATAGAGAAAGCTCATGATAAACTGATCCACTATAACTGGAAGCTTATTAACTGAAAACTTTTATGTAATAGTATGCAGATTTTATTATTTTGCAAGGCTCTTTTTTTTGTACAGTTGATATTGTTTTTTTATTTATTTATGTAAAGGCCTTTTCCATATCTTTTACCAGGGATTTTCCTCAGGGATTTACGTACATAGGCCAGGATAATTTAAATGACCTAACAAATAATTACAGTTTTGAACACATGCTGAAATCTCCCTATTTAGTTGTCTTTTGAAATGCGTCCAAGTAACACTAGCTTTAGACACAGTGAGCTTCCACTTCAGCTGATCCAGTATCATTGAATTTGCTATTGAGTGTCTACTCAAGTTTTCTCCCATTGAAACCAGTGAAGAAATTTTAAAAGTAGGTATATATTTAAAAACAAAGTCTGTTTTACAATGTTGCTGCAACCTCAGCACCTCTTACATTCAAAAATAGTGTTTGAATTTATAGTTTGTCAATCTCGTTGTCTCCACATCTTTAGGTTTTTGATGCAGACTTCTTAACCTGTCATGTTTCCAGGCTGCGATAATGTGATTTGTGTTTGGAACGTTGGCACGGGCGAGCTTGTATACCAGCTCAGTGACACCCACCCGGACCTGATCTACAGCGTCGGCTGGAACAAGGATGGCAGCGCGGTGTGTACTGTATGCAAGGACAAGGCCCTGCGCATCATCGACCCCCGCAGGGGCGCTGTCCTGAAGGTCAGAGAGAAGGTCCACGATGGCACAAGGCCCATGAGAGCCGTGTTCCTCGCTGATGGAAAAATCCTGACCACGGGATTCAGCCGTATGAGTGAAAGGCAGCTGGCATTGTGGGACACAGTAAGTGGCAGCTCCAGCACAGAGGTTTGCAGCAGAAATATTTGTTGTGTTACGGGTCACAGTTTGATACCAATACAGCTTTTGCTTGAATGTATACATTCTCTTCAAATGACCATGTTACAACCTAAAACTCCAGTTTATCTTACTGCAGTTTTCCATGGTAAAATAACTCGGATTAGTTATTTAGAATTTGATTTAATATGATATGTTTTTCAGTTGGTTTTCATATCCTTTCTATTCCATTGAATCCTTCTGAACAAATGCTTTGTTGACCAATTTGGTGCTGCAATTTCAGCTGCTGTGTTATGTCTTTCTAGCCTGACGTAGTCCGACTCAATTCTAGTCAGAATATGAGTCTGATACTGCTCCATAGAGCTGTGATTATGGGGCGTGTTTTGAACGAACCAGGAAAAAAAATGCCTCTGCACTCAATTGGATAGACCTACAACCAATAAGAGCAACGGAGTGCGTGATGTATGTTAAGCGAGGCATAGTTGTTGTCCACAAAAATCAAAGCGTGCAGTTGCACGCCTATAATAAGAAGATGAGCCTTGATCGCATTTCTCTGTTCTTCTTTTAAAATTAATTTGCTGTCGATATCTTCTAGAACAGACCTAATAGCAGAATCTACTCACCCAAACTCTCCAGCGGCAGCCATTATTGTTGTCACCCAAGCGCGCATTGGTCACGTGGTTGATTACGTTACTGTTGGTCATCTGTCCATCATCGTATAAAGCCCGCCCTGACAATTTGATTGGATCGCCTGACAGTGGGCGATAATACTCGCGCTACTATGGAGCAGAGCCAGACCGAACTTCCCGACCTCAAACTTTGTGGGCGGGACTAAGTTCGGAATGGCACTCAGGCTAATGTCTTTCATGTCTCGAAACTAAAAAAAAAATTCTTTTCTGATTATGTGCAAAAAGCATTCATTTTTAAGTGTTAACTTCATTGGATTTAGGTCCGGACTTTAACTAGGCCATTTGAACCTTTAAAATATGCTTTGATCTAAGTCCCTACAGACTATATACATAGTATATCGTTATCCTGTTGGAAGTCAAGCCTCTTCACATGTCTATCAATTGTTTTTCAGCCTCTATTTCTTAATTTTGATCAGTTCATCGGCCTATGCTAAAAAGGTTTATCAATTAAAATCAAAGAGTATTTATACTTAGTGTTGCGACACAACTAAAATTATTAGTTACGGGGTTTGCAATTAATCGCTTTTTTACTCGAAAATCATATTGACAAAATTAACCAGCTGGTATGTTCCTTCACTACTACTGAGTAAAAGACAGTCGTAATAATCAATTGTTGCAGTAGTATTATTTTATACCTTTAGTGTTTCCATAGTAAGTTCAGGCTCTGTGAAGAAATTAAACTGTTTTCTTAATCAGCATCTTATGGCCAGGAACACATTGGCCTTTTTTACAATGATTTCTAAGTAAAGCTTGGAAAAAACTCAAGAAGTTTGGCTTTTATTGTAGAAGCTGTTTACTATCTGTCTAGCTTGGCAACATACAAAAGCAGGGACAGAATACCAAGTTAAAAAACGTTTTTCTCCTCAATTATTAAATAAATAATTATATGAGCACAACAACACATAATTACTTTTAATCCTTCTATTTAGGTTATTCAACCCTCAGATTGGTTGCAAGTTCTAATATGTTAACATGATTTAGAAACTGCAGTTCTAAATCAATTGATTTCGATTCAATCTGTTTTTACAATAAGGAAAGTGGTTCAACTGTGTTTTAAAATACTCATGTATTTTATTTTTTCCTTTCATATGAAACACAAAGTGCAAACTTGTAAGTCAGTTTAAACTTGAGATGTGAACTAAAACTGTCTCAAAAGTGCAAACTTGTTTGTGAAAAGTGAAAAAGTGAAGCCTCACTCGAGCAAGCAGACGTGACACAGCAGGGTGTTTGCTGGTCAGCCCCCATTTGTTAATGTCTTCAGTCAACTTATTTGCTATATTTGATATACTTGAGTGCATCTTTCCTGTTCATTTGAATGTGAACGTCACTCGCGTCACTATAAAACTAATCAATCTCATTCCCTAGACATCGATTTTGTAAAAATGTAAAGAAATCGATTCAAAATCGAATAAATCGATTTTGTTACCCAGCCCTAATATTGTCAGTAAGAGTTAGACATCTGCTGTAAACATAAGATAAAGTTCAATTTCTAATACTGACAGAACTATAACAATCGAGCTGCATAAAGCATTGCTTAACAGTTGCTATTCATGGTACAGCATTAAGTGCAAGTAACACATTTGCCGATGAGGCTGCTGTGTTTTGCTACCCTGTTACTAACAAATAATCCATGTTTCTAAACTTAGTTGCTTCCTAGCTTCCTGTACTATTCGCATTGCACTTATCATACCGACCGCTGACGCACTAAGCTTAAATGTTCATACCGATTTGAGGTATTAATTTTGAGCCATAGTTTATGAACTTGTATACCCCCAGTGGACAAACACCTATGATGCTGCTTGTCTGTCAGATTTACGGGAGTACAAATGTTCCTGCCTGGGATTTTGTGTTGAGTGCGTATATAAGAAAATTTTATTAATTCCGTTCATTTTCTATGTTTTAAAATGTTTCTACTTATTTATTCAAAACAAATGTGTTAAATTCCCAGCCCTATTTACACCGCCTGCAAAGGGTGGCGGGTGGACGGCCATTTTTTTGAACACAGAAGCCAGACAGCAGTCAGTTTACACATTGCTCCATCAGGAAATTGCACACAGTCGATCAAATACTGGGGTGTATACAACAATGTGGGTGATTAAAACATTATTAAATATTATACACTGAAAAATAAGCATCAAACATAGTTTCTTTGCACTCTGTGTCCTCACTCATTTTAGAATCTTGATCATGAAATAAAATATCTGGGTAGGAAAATTCAACATAATAATTTTGTCCGAAACTCTTTTTATCACTGACTTATTGCACAATCAGTGCACTGTTCATTGATGGTTCTGTGCATGGTCCTCTGAGCTTAGCAGCAGGGTGAAAGGGGCACTGTAAACACCAGGTTCTGTAAATGGATTCTCCCACCTGAGCTGTCTATCTCTGCAGCTCATCAAGAGATCCCATGACCTCCTTGGATTATAGCAACCTGCTAACAGTCTGTCAATTTAGGAGGTTGTTAATGAATGTCTAAAACACTTGAAACCCATGCGTCCTTTCCCTTCCGCATTCTTAATTAAACACCACTGTGTTTTGGTAATAAACCACATTAAAGTACATTTTAATGTTTTGTAAATGCCTTTTGAAAGAAGCATCCCCTGGTCAAAAAAATCATCCAGTATCCTTGCTCTGTTTGATTATCAGTATTTTCAGTTATAAAAGAAACTATTTCCGTTTTCCAGAAAGATCTCTCTGAACCAATGGCTGTTCAAGAAATGGATACAAGTAATGGAGTTCTTCTTCCCTTTTATGACCCTGACACCAACATGGTCTACCTCTGTGGAAAGGTAAATACAAAGCAGCTTTGAATGTTGAATATACTCTTCCTTTCTTTTATAAGCAAATAAATGTGATTTATCTTCATTTCAGGGGGATTGCACTATCCGTTATTTTGAAGTGACAGATGAGTCCCCGTATGTTCATTTCCTCAGTTTATACAGCAGCAAGGAGCCTCAGAGAGGCGCAGGATTTCTTTGTAAAAGAGGTGTTGATGTCAACAAGTGTGAAATTGCCAGGTTAGTACTTTTAATCTGCTCTCATTTTGCTCTTGTCACTAATATGTCTACAATCCTTTGCTAAAACGGGCTAAGTAATATCTCACACAGAATCTCCACCATAATTAATAAACAGACGACATGAGGAACTTCCTCGCATATGCATGGTTTCAAGCGGTTTTTTTTGTTGTTGTTTTTTTATAGATATAGTTGTAACTTCTGAGTTACTCCTCTTCCTCTAGACATGGCTAAGTTTAGAAAAAAAACAATGATTGCAAAATGTCCTTGTATGATTTTAACATTGCTCTCTATGCCACTACTGTCTTGTCAGATCACATCTGTTGTCACCACTTTAACAGCTACAATGGTTTTGACTTTATGTGCATTATTCCACTTCCACAACTCACTTGTACCACTAGTTGAAGCCAAGACTGATTTGTTATTAACTTGCAATCAGTAATTTCATGTTTACTTGCAGATTCTATAAGCTGCATGAAAGGAAAGTGGAACCCATTTCAATGACTGTACCACGCAAAGTAAGTAACACCCCCTGTTTTTAAAAGAATTATATTAGAATACCGTATTTTCTGGACTGTAAGCCGTGCCAATTAAATTTTTTGAAGAAAAAAAAAGGAAACGTACATATATAAACCGCACTGATGGCAGCGGCGCCACCAGGGGGTGACCACGGCCACCCTGTGCTATGCCCTGGCCTCCCCACTCGCCAGTGTGAATTGTAGTTGCATCATTTTAGCATTTTATCCCATTCTATACAGCCAGTGACGTAACATTAAAAAAAATATCACACAATAAACCAAGATATGAGTAGGTGTTTACTTAAGGCAGGTTTACCATAATAGTAGATTCAAACCCTGAAATTATGGCTTTTAGTTTCAATGTGCCCAAGATTTTTAGTGGCCCCATCTGGCCACCCCTATGAAACATTCCTGGAGGCACCACTCTGCACCAGGCTATAAACCACTGATATCTACTGAACTGTCTCCCACCAAATCTGTAGGGGGAGCTCTACATATAGCCCCTAGAGTAGGGTTGAAGAAAGCTAGCTCCTGTTAGCTTGTTGGCTCGGAGCAGTATGAGCTTCTACTGAAAGATGGGGCTTTGTCAGCTCTTTATTTCAGTGCTGCAGGAGTTGAGCCCAGTCTCTTCACTGGTTCAGCAGCTTTAATGCCTCAAATAAATGTCAAAATGTGTGAATTTGGGATATTTGTTCTCCGTCGTCCTTGCTACTGGCAAGTTTTTGTGCTAAATAAAAATTAGCTCCTTATTCTTTCATTTCCAGCTTTGATTTCTCTCTCTGGCAGTTGGGAAAAAAATCCACAGAAAAGCTCCACCTTCTTATAAGCCGTTGGTTCAAAGGCTGGGGAAAACGTAGCTGCTTATAGTCCAGAAAATGTGGTAAATGTAAAGATGTATTATTTTCTAAATATGTCTGTCTGATGTCTTTTTTTATTTTGCCCCAATAGTCAGATCTTTTCCAGGGAGACCTTTACCCAGACACTGCAGGCTTGGAGCCGGCTCTGTTGGCAGATGAATGGATCGCCGGGCAGGACGCACCACCTCTGCTTGTGTCTCTTAGTGGCGGGTACGCAGCGCCTCCATCCAAACAAAGAGACACCATCAGAACCAAGCCCAAGCTAGGTTCTCAGGATTCTGGAGCTGCCACAACTACAACCGTAGCAGCAATTCCCACATCCACAGCTACCTCTGCCACCAAAGAAGCGGAAGAAGAGACCACTGCGCCAAGAGTGTCCGCCAGGGAGACGGATGGAAACGGCGAGAGGCCGAGGAAAGAGGTAACGTTGTCAGCCCCGGTCAGGTAATCTTTCCGCTTGGAACGGCTTTCTGATTTGTTGCTCTTCTGTGTTTCAGGATGAAATGTTGAGTGAATTGTTAGCAGAGATGAAGGCGTTACGAGCTGTTGTGCTCGCTCAGAACCAGAGGATTGAACTGCTGGAGAGGCAGCTGGCTCGCATCGAAGACGGCGACGTTTGAGGAGGCTTACTATTGACTACACTATAGACTGTAGCCTTACCAGTCTTAAAAATATCTTAATGCTTTGTTAGCGTTAAAAACTGTGAATCACTGTGGCTTCCAGCTGCTATGATTAGGGCTGAATTGTCCATGTAACTTTTTTTTTAAAGTAGGGTTTCATCTGCATAGAGTGATATTTATAGCAAAACTGAATGATCCCTTAGCAGTTATTGGATGGTACATCTATGAGCTTATTAAATTAATGTTTTCATTCAGTAAGACTGCTCACTTATTTTAATGCGAAAGGTAATAGTAATCATTTTGTGAAAAGTTGATGAAGGTTGCCTTTTAAAGCAACCGATTAATTACCTCCCAATGTCTTTTCTCCTGTCGCTGACTCATAAACACCACCCCTAGGGTTTATTAATCAGGTAGTTTTATGTTGCAAAATTCTCAAGTCATGGTTCTGACTTTATCTATGGCTTGTCCCTCATCTCTGTCTTCTTTATAGTTGCATTCAGATTTATGAACCCGGAGTCTCAGTATACTGTGTGAGTGATCAGTGGTGAGAATGTTGTTGAATATTTATGTGTTGTCATAATGTGTTGTTGGTGCAGTAAGCAAAAAAGAAAAAAAAGGTAAAGCACTATTGAATTGGTGTGTTTAATAAGGACATTGGATGTGTTTGTAGGCCATTGTGAGGTTCAGAGCTTGATTGCCATCATGCATATCTATTCATAACCGTTTTACTAACAGGAAATCAACATAAAGCAAAACATTTCCATACATTTGCAACAGAATATGTATTTGTGTTAAAATACGTAAGGCACTTTGAGTTATGTCGTTTTATTTTTGTTTTTAATCTCTGAATATTATTTTAGAGGCATTAAAATGTCATTTATGTAGCAGTCAGGGATAGGATAACTTTTGCATTCCAGTTTAGCCCTTTAATGCTTTCATTCTGTATGCACTGACCGCCTAACACTGATATGAACAACAGGTTTAACGAGACTTCGATGTAATAACTGACTAAAACGTTCATATTTTGTACAAGAAAGCCTTTGATTTACACTAATGTTTCTTTCATGTTCTAGTTCTGATTATTCTTGAATACTGTGTTAATTGTTAAATAGATGATGAATGGAATTTGTTTTTAATCCAACTTTCATTCTTATTAAAATCTTGCATACATGACTTGTCCAGTTCCTCTGACTCTAAAAGTTGAAATGAGTACATTGGAACCACATATTTGGAGAAACCTTGGTATCAGAACAAATACTATCTGCAGAAAACGAGTGTTTTCAGGGAAGTTAAAATATTTTTAGTGTTTATAAGAGTTTCATAAGGCATTTTTATTCTGATCTTTTTCTAGTCGCTTGGTTTGGTAGCTTAGGTGTTGAAAACAAAAGTGGGGAAAACGTCTTCTAAATGATAGTTTATCTGTTATAGCACTGATAGCAAGGCTCATACCAAATTTACTAGACCACCCTTGCAATCTGCAGTTCCAAATTGGTCCATCTGGGCAGCAGGTGTCAAATAACAAAGTAAAAATACTTCATTACCTTAAATAGAAATGTTTTCGATCTATACACTTTACTGGAGTAATAATATTTTAGAGAACTTTTAACTTCTACTCACATTTTTTTTTTGGGCAATTTTCTATCATTTCTACTCCTTGCATTTTAAAAATAGACTTGTTAGTTTAGTTTCATTTAAGCTCATTTTCGTTATGGCCTGTTGGTATTAAAACAAATAAACATCAAAATGATTAGTTTAATCCAGACAATTTCTTTGTGATTGGACTCGGTGCTGCACCAACTTGTTTGCTACATACCAAAATATATAGTTTTTCAAGATGAAGTAAAATTAAATTTCAAACTGTTACCATTAGTTATAAAACCTCAAAAAATTAAGTATAAGGAAGTTATCATCCAGAATTGCTGAAAAAATATCCTTTAATAGAGTGGAGGGTTTAAAGCCTCTATCCTTAACATTTTTCTGTTGCATTACTTTTACTTTTATAAGTAGTTTTAAAAATGGTACTTTTAAATAAGTAAAAAGTTAAGTTGAAATTCTAACTTCTACAAAAGTGTTTTTAAAAATTAGTAATTTTTCTTCTACTTTAGTAATAAATATTAATATTTTTGACACCTCTGCTGGGCAGTGATTTACTTCCTAGGACAAAATGCGACAGATGGTAAACTGCTTTGCACCCACTGCAATAAAGTCTCTAAATAAGGGAGTTTTAAAATTTCTTTGTTATAATCTCTTTTGTTTTTTTATGAGCTGTTGTTCACTTTGTAAATGTGTATGTATAAAATTACTCACTGCAAAGCAAATTGTTCTGTTGCACGCACATGCTACCCCAATGTGTTACAGTACACCGGTGAAAATGAAGGTAACTAATCTAAAATGGATTCTAGCCTTACTACAGATAAAACAAGTTAAAATGTTTTTTTTTTTTTGCCGTCCAAATTTCAGTAGCTTGCAATACAAAACAGATCACACCTTTAAAAAGATGTTTTTGATAAAAGGTGATTATTGCCTCAGAGTGTAACAGCAAAACTGAGTAATCTTGTTTGATCAAGCCAGTTTGAGTTTTTCAAATTCTGTGCTTCACTTTTTGGAGGATATTCAAATTTCTTTTGTAGAAGGGTCTTTTTATCCCTTAAATACTTGAATTGTATAAACAAAAATTTTTTAACAGTGAGAAAAATTCAACTACACTACATTATGATTAGTCACTTTGTGTTCGAAATGATCTTTGGTTTACAATTATCTGTCTTTTATGTTCAGTTTTTAGTAATGTGTTTGAGATCTGATCATGCTTATATATACAGTTTTAAGTGTGTCAATTGTATAAAGCAACTAAATGTTTTTTGCAATAAAAATTCCTTAACATGCTTCAGGAAATTCGAATTGATTATTTTTTAGGGAATTTAGTGAGAGTGTGTATTTTAAAGAACAGCTTTCTTTAAGATAGTTAAAATTAATGACATCTTTAGAGCATGAAAGCATAAAAGACTTCACACCACATGACTTGTTGCTGTTCTGATCAAGACTGAAATTTCTATATGGTTTTGGTGAAACATGGTATTATCTGCGTAGAGTAAAATCTATAGCTAAACTAAATGGTTTTGCAGTAGTTATCTGATGATGCAACTTAATGTTTTCAAATGCTCAAAGGTAAGTATAAACTCAGTTAGAATATTTATGTTGTGAAGTACTGAAAATCCCAATTCTTAAAAACAGATCAATTTCAGCACCGTTTTTCAATTTTTGCTTCTATACCATGAAGTTATAATCAAATATGCGTAAAACATGGCGTCATCTGCATAGAGGGAAATTTATAGCTAAAGGATATAATGGTAAGGATATGAACAATTTAGATTTATATAACTGATGTACCACTTTAAGCTTATTTGAAGTGTTCATTTTCTGTCTTATTCGCTGAAAAGTGCTTATATCATGAAATCACTGTCCATTAGGGGATCATTCATGTAGCTTGTGATGTGTTTAAGCTCATCTTTATATTTTGCGCTTTAAAACATGAGTGGATGCTCATTTTCCCTCATGTCCAACAGTTAGTGATCAGTTTTAAGGTTGAATACACAATAATAATGCATTTGCCTATGTTCATTGTTTATTATTAGATAACTGGAGTTAGTCTATAATGCAACAATGCCTTCTCGATAAAGTGTTCGTTTAAACTAACCCAAGGAGTGAAGGGAAAGATTTGACAACACGGTGCAGCTCTAGCTTGCAAAAATCTAGGAATTTGTTTGAATATGGGCTGGATAGTGGTACAGTAGGTAGCTGCCTTGTAGCAAGAAGGTCTTTCTGTATGGAGTTTGAATGTTCTCCCTGTGCATGCATGGGTTCTCTCTTGGCACTCCGGTTTCCTCCCTCAGCCCAAAAACATGACTGTTAGTTTAACTGGCTTCTCTAAATTGGCCACAGGTTGAGTGTGTGTGCATGGTTGTGTCTTTGTGTGTCTCTCTGATGCCCTGCGACAGACTGGCAGCCTGTCAATTGTGAACCCCGCCTCTCGCCCATAGACTGCCAGAGATAGACACCGGCTCCACTGCAACCCTGACAAGGACTAAGCGGGAGAAGATTGACAGATGCATGGATGTTTGGATTACAAAAAAAAGGAAGTGAACCTAAATGAATGCAAATCAAATCAAAATACATTAAACACTGACTGGTGTTCGAAAGCAAGCGTCTTTGTTGTTTCTTTAAACAGATACACAAAGAAAAATCTGTGGTCTTACAAAACAAAGCTCAGTCAGTCAACTGTACAAACCACTGAAACAAGTTCCTTCTTCATCAGAGAAAGTTTTAAAAAAGAAAAGATTTGACATGACCACAGATTATAAATTATTGCTTGCCGTATTTAGAAACATTTCTAGAAACTAGTCCATCTGAAAGGTATTCAGGTAGATCTTGATTTAAAGAAGCCATAGTCCTAATTTAATATATATTGTCAAACTAAAAGAAAAGGTGTATTAAAGTGAGCAATGCATTAAAGAGAAAACTTTTTCATTTGAATTATAATTCAAAGCTAAGATATTTTTGTATTAACTTAGCCTTAAAATCTGTAAAGGATGAGAGAACATTGTTGCACAATCTATTTTTATTTTAACATATTTTACAAGTGTACAGTGAGCGTTACTGTAAAGATTTAAATGGAGCCGCCATCACACAGTGCAGAGAATATGTGAGCCTGGGCAGCCTTGCAGAAACAGGATGTGGCTAAGTCGTTTCAGAAGCTCTGAAGTTTAAACTCTTTGCTTTTAGAAGGTTTCAGGTTTGCAGATGCAACAATGAAGATCTCTTTATTTATTTAATCTTGCACCAATTTGATCATTGGTTCATATGGCATCAATCGACAAGGTGTATTTTGATACCATTAAAATTGTATAAAGACCTGTTCCCTGAACTTTGTTCACTTTAGAGATGAGTTGTTTGCCCAAAAAAAAAAAAAAAAATTGAAATCATAACAGGAAATACACCATTTAATTCAAAAAAAGTATTTCTGCTGTTCCACAAGACTACCTGCACCTGTTTCACTAGTTTGTACAACAACTCTGCCTTGAAAGAAAAAAACAAAATCTAAAAAACATGTTCCTCTTTCTATAAATAATTGTGCATTTACATATATTTGCTCTTCACCACACCCTGCTGCAAGTTTGTCTTTAATCTGTGCATGCAATCCTTCCCCAAGTCTCCACCTACCTCCAACACTTCTCAGCTTTTTTTTATTCACCTCATACAATGCATCACTCCCCCCTTCCTCCCTACTGCTCTCTTCTCATCTGCATACATGCTGTGACTTTTTTCAAACGCACCCTTGCTGATATGTAAGCTAGACCCAGTTGCATTGCAAGTGTTCAGTCTTTTCGCGCCGCAAACCGTAGACATATCTTTTCCAGACAACTTTGGTGAGTTTTTTTTTTTTTTTTAACAGTTTACCATATTGGTGTTTTATCTGATGAATTCACAGTTTTGTATCTGTTCCTTGTTCATGTAGGTCATTTCTTACTATGAAAAAACTGAAATACAAACTACTACTACTCCTACTATTTATTCTAGTATTCATTTATATAGCCTTACTTACTGCTTTGGTTTCCTGAGCTATATATGAATGTTTTGTATCATAGCAGGCTGACTGGGGGTGCACAATTATCACTTTGACAGGAAACCAGCAGCCCTGAGAGCGGTCTGTCGAACTTCCTGTCTTTCAAGTTATTGCAGACAGCACAAAGGGTGAATACAGTACCGACATTGTAAGTAAGTATATTACAGTTTGCTTGTAGTTGTTTTAAAATAATAATAAGCGATTATCCAATTATATTTTACAGTGTGTGATATTTTCCCACAAATAAGCTAATTATACATTCAATTCAATGAATTTGATAAATAAAATAAAAATGTTTTAGCAAAGTAATCACATCGATCAAAATAAGAGTTAAATGGTTATTTGCTTTTCTTATGTCGATGTTTTCTAGGCTATAAAATAAAACACACGGATGGATCGTCTGATGACAAGTTCAGTGTTCCCTTGAAAGTTCCAGGAGTTTTTGACTGCACGGCTCAGCTGAAACAAACACATTTAAGTTTTCTTCTCAATTAACAAAAGGTTTGACGCAAAGGTAATTTATAATTGTAGATTTTACATGCACAACATTATTAATCGTCATTTGTGGCTTATAATGTTCAAATTTGAATCGGTTTCCAACCTAAAAGTGTGCATAATGTGAAAAAACTACAGATTTGTCTTCGCTTCATTGCCGCAGTTAAACATGAGTACGTTTTGACAACAGGATTCCCCCAAAGTTAACAGATTGTACCTAAGAGGAGTGCCTGATTAAAAAAAAAAAAAATTCATTCAAAAACATATTTGCACTGTTATAAACTGACTGAGAAGCTCTTGCTCTTGAGCAAGGCAGAAAGCAGGCTTTCTTTTATGGTAAGGTAAATACTAGTCTAACCAAACTAGAAGTTTGTTATAGCTGATGTTACCTGTACTGAGAATCGCTTTGTTTCATTTCCAGACACCAAAGTTACAATTAGCAGAATCTCTCATAAACCTTTGAATAATATGGAAGTTTTTTACTCCAGTTTATGAGGACCAGCATCCTGCAACCTTTAGATCATCCTTGGTCTGACACATCAGAAAAAAAGAAAATGGCTGAATTACCTCCTGAGTATGTGGTCAATTTCACCAGAGTTTTTAGATTCATCTAATTACTTGATTCAGGTGTGTTGGACCAAGGATACATTTAAAGGTTGCATGATACCAGCCATTATGAACTGGAATAGCTGACCTCTATGTTAGCAGATAATTGAGTTCTTGAAGTATTTGTTTGGCAGCAGTTTCTAAAACAAATATTTATTTATACCTGGATAACATCAGTCCATACAATGAAAAAAATATTGCATGAAATCCAGTTTATGTGTTATTTATTCAAGATTAAAGGTTCCAAATTTAATTATCACCTAATGTGAAAAGGTACATTAATAGTTTAAGCTAAAGCTATGGCTTTAGCTTAAATTATAAACTTAAAGCATAAACTGAACTTAAGCTATGATCATAGCTTAATAATTAAAATACTATATCGTATACATTGTTTTTTTTTAGTTTAATTTTAAATGGTCCAAGTCTTTCACATCTTACTGGTGGTGATTATTTCTATAGCATCTTCTGTTTGGTAATTCCAGATTAATTTATTCCAGAATGATAGGTAATTTTAAATTACCTATCATTCTGAAATGTAAAAAAAGAAATTTTATTTTATGCACCTTTAAACCCTCATGTTTGCTTGAAAATCTAGGCAGAAAACTGAAGTTGGAGGCAGTGCACCATCAATTATCTTCCTGATCCACACACAAACTGGAATTAAATGCATAAAATGTTTCCTGTCAAGCTATGAATTGTAAACCAGAACCATGTAGACATCATGCAATAGTAAATATGCAGCTATAGATTTTTTTAATCACTTTTTAATCACTTTAATCAGCCAGGAATATAATTGATGATGCGCTGCCTTCAAGCTCACTTTTGTTTATGATAACGGTCTTCTCTTAAAGTTGTTTAAAGGTGTAATAAATCTGCTTTGTTCTTGGCCATTCTTAACCTAGATTTAGCCTATAAAACTAACTAACCCAGAGAGCTTTCTACAACTTTTAAGATGTCTGCTGCTTAAATATAGGACCCAACCTTAAAGATCCTTGTTTTTACATTAAGCAACATTAGACATTTTTATTCATTTAAGCCCTTTACAATGTCCCTTTCCCTTCCATTGTGAAAACTAAGACCAAGAATATTTTTCTTTAACTAAACTGTTATTTTTATCTTCATGTCATTTCACGAAATATACTTTTTTTGCAATTGGCTTGATGTTGAGGTCTCCCCTGAATACAATAGAGGGAGGCTTCTATTACTTTCTATTTTTAAAGTTTTTTTATATATATATACTTAAGGCAAATCATTAGAGAAAATGCGAGATAACATATAAACATATACATTTGATTGTTAATTTCTCATGGAACTAAACAACCAGTAAATGTGTTGTCCAAGACTTTTTCTAAAGTTTTTTATCTGAATTTCAAATGTATAACTTTTTCTAAAGCTCTTTTCTCTCTTCACTGCAGGAAAATGACAGAAAATCCAGCCACTAGAACTGTGGTGGTTCTTTTCGTCACCCTGGTGATCCTAATTGTACTGCTTATTTTCTTGTACAAAAAATTAAACAGGGAGGCAAACAATGAATATACAATCAGAGAAATCATATACAAGGAGGGTGGGGTCAGGGATCGGGTTAGAGGGGCAGTATTAGCTGTGGAAAGTCATCTTGGCATCCAGCTGTGGCCTGAAGGCAACGATGAAGAGGAAGACATGCAGGACGAGCAGGATGAGGAGAGAGACGTGGAGAATGGAGAAGAGAGGAGTGATGGGAGTGATACAGATGGAGAGGATGAACAAGAGGGGGACAGTGGGGATCACAGTGCTGGCTCATTCCCAAAAGAAGGCGATAACTCCAGTGTGAACAGTTCAGAGGCAGGTGAGGAAGATGAGCTGATGGATAGTAAACCAGAGTTATATGAGGAGGATAAAATTGAGGAAAAGCAGGAAAAAGAGGTAAAAGAAGAAGGTAAAGCAGAAGCAAGCGGTGGGACTGGATTGTTGATCGACCTGAAGCAGTTTTCTGGTAGTGCTATTTGGTCAGAAGAGGACGGAGGTGAGGGCCGGGCTAGTGATGTGACAGCACTGTAAAACGACAAGTAAAGCTGGGAGGGATAGAAAACTTTTTCATAAAGAAGGCGAGATCACAGATCAAATTAAGACATAGTGAAGCATAGAAATAAAACTAGAAAAACAGCATAAACTTAGTTCAATTCTTCTCATGTTACATATTTTATCTTAATGCCGTGATGGCTGAATAAAGCTGTTATATATATCCAATTGGATGTTCCTTGTAAAGATTGTGTAAAGTTTGTCATCTGTGACTTTGAAATGTTTTTTAATGCCTTAAATGTTTTCTGCAAACTTAATAGAAATCTAAAGTCAGAGAATATTGTATTTCTATTTTCTCACTGTTGTTTGCTGTAAAGTGTAAACGTAATGTCTTCAGTTCAGTTTTTAAAGCGGAAATAAAAATAAATACATTAAGCTTTTCTATGTAAACTAATTAAGAAAATGTACTTAAAGATTATATCACTTCTCTTATAAGGGATTGTAGAACAGTGAACAACTGCTAAAAAAAGGTAACCAATTTAACAATATATGTTAAAGATTTTTTTTTTGTTTCTGTATCATCAGGGAGTAACATTTTAAAACAAAACAACATGTCCAACAACTGGCTGCATAACATGCAGCGTTCAACGTTATTTTTTGCTACAACATAAACCAAACCACAAATGTAACTTTGTGTTCCCATTCCATAATTGTTGAATAAAATGTTGAAAAGATTTAAAACATTTCTATTTATTTTTATCTTTTTTTTTTTTTTTTTTTTTTACCAGTTATCAAAACATATTTATATATCCGAACAAGGTTCCCCTTTTGTGATAAAAACAACAAATTAATACAACATCAACATGATAGATGATGAATACCAAAGATTCAGCTGCGTGCAGCACTGGGGATGTAGCTCAGTGGTAGAGCGCATGCTTCGCATGTATGAGGTCCCGGGTTCAATCCCCGGCATCTCCACAAATTGTCGTTTTGCTCAATTTTATACCAATCATTACGATTATTTGAAACAATTGTCTGGCAGCAGATAAAATCCACAAACTTCTCCCGTTCCTGGGTGAAAATGGGCATAAATGCTAGCAATGTTCATAATTCCTATTGGTCAAAGGATCTCTAGCTCGAATCTGATTGGATGCGGTGCAAATATTGGGAAGAAAGCGTTATTAATTTCCGGTGAGGCTAATCAGAAGTAAGATGTTTATTAAAATATAAATTTAACAGATGCTATCAAATTCCTTAACACGTGTGATATGTCGGCAGTTCCTCTAAACAGTGAACGCAGCATCGGAAAAAAAATCAGCATAAACTACATGAACATAAAAGCTTTCAAAGTCCCAATCAGAGTATAATGTAACACATATATAATGTTTGCTGCATCACTGTGAGCGTTCAGTCTGCATCTCCCCTCTCTCACCCGAACTTGACTGCTCCTAAGAAATGATTTCAACAGACGTCACTCATCTGCATAGGGAGTGAGATGCGAGCAGAGCCTGAAATCCTCAGCGCGTCTCTGACAGAAAACAAAAAAAACAAAACATTGAACCTGCTGATTGCTGCATACATCAGAAAACGATCATGGAAGGTACTGTTTGCATGCACTGTCATTCATTTGCGCTCAGATCCGCATATTTTAGGCTGCAAGATGGATGCAAACCAGCCGTGCACAGGGATGCACGTAGAGGCGGCTGCAGGTCGCCTATAAACACCCGAAATGTTTACTGTTTTTATATAAGTATAAAGTATACATATATATATATAAAGGCTGCTATGTTATTGTTTATTGTGTGTCTGCAGGAATAGGATGTTACTAGCCTCCGCCGTGGTGGTATGGGAATGGCTGAACGAGCACGGACGCTGGCGGCCGTACAGCCCGGCTGTCTGTCACCACATCGAGGCAGTCATCCGGAGCGACCCGCGCTGTGGTAGCGTGGTCCTCGGCCAGGTGGACACTCGCCTGTCGCCCTACATTATCCATTTACATTCCATGCACCAGTTCCGACAGGACACAGGTGAGGCTGGAGAGGGACTGTGGGTGGATCAGTGGCATGGATGGAGGAGAAAGGCCTTGTTTTTTTTTCTATCCAGTTTTCTCTGGGTGGATTTTCTTGCAAGGATTGATGACTTGTTGCTGTTGTTTTCATTGAATACATAAATTGCATTTTTTTTCTTTGCTCTAATACAACCTTCTTCGAAATAACCTACTATTTACATCTGGGGCCCATATGTGAAAACTAGCTTAGTGTTTTGATCTGCATGTTATTTAAAAATCCTATCTGGAATTATGTCCTGCACAGAGGCGTAGCCAGATATTTTTTATAAGGGGTGGCCAAAAGCGGATAGGCCCCAGAACCTCAGGGTCAATTTACACTATTACATCCATCCATCCATCCATCCATCCATCCATCCATCCATCCATCCATCCATCCATCCATCCATCCATCCATTTTCTAACACTAGAGGCCTGCGCAGGACACATTTTCCAGTCCCGCAGAGTTCAGTCCCGCTCCCGCAAAGAATTATGATTTTCAGTCCCGCCCGAACCTGTAATAGTTTGTCCCGTTCCCGCCCAAAATTCCTGCATGATTCTGACTTTCGTCTACTGCTCAAGGCAATTCGTTTCATTAGTTTGAGCAATTAAAGACACTGTGCTTAGCTGAGCACATTACTGGCCGATTCTTCACCGCATAGTGCATGACAAGCGTAAGGTGGTGCTTCACAGCAATACCCAACTAACCTACCAAAATCTACTAAGGATATTAAGAATAATATATTGTGCATAATCTTATATGCCACTCATCATCACGTTCACGTATGAAATATAACTTTATTTTACATGACTTTTACTTTACAACACGTTTTTAGTTTTAGGACTGCCGCTTATCACCGCTCCCGCCCGCACCGCAGTGCTTTGCGAGTGCAGGGCTCTATCTAACTCACTTAATCCCAAGTGGGGTCGCGAGGGGTGCTGGTGCCTATCTCCAGCTGTCTACGGGCGAGAGGCGGGGTCCACCCTGGACAGGTCTCCAGTCCATCGCAGTGTAACACAGAGACAAACAACCACCCACGCACGCATGCACACACTCACACCTAAGGAGAATTTAGAGCAGGCAATTAACCTAACAGTCATGTTTTTGGACTGTGGGAGGAAACCGGAGTACCCTCAGAAAACCCACGCATGCTCAGGGAGAACATGCTAACTCCATGCAGAAAGACCCCAGGCCGGGAATTAAACCCAGAACCTTCTTGCTGCATAACAGTAGTGCTACCCACTGCTCCACTGAGCAGCCCCCAATTTACATTATTGCAACAGGAAAATTAACAAGCACAACATCCATATTTCCTACAGCCTTTGCTAACAAATAGACGCAAATATAAAAAAAAAATCTGTGCTTTCTAGATAAATGGTATAGTGGATACAATTCTTTCAGGTTTTGAGTTCTGGTGCAAACATCTCTTCCTTTGTCATTGCTTACCTACTTTTATCAACAATTTTGCATAAAATTGATATTTACAAGTACTAATATATACATAAATTAATGATTAAGGTTTTATTAAAATATTTATCTATGATTTCACTGAAGACTCCTAGGTGGCTTTCAAAGAAATATTGTTTTCTCTTTACCCCATATAACACAAAATCTAGTTCTGAAAAGAGCATGAAGTTTAATCTTTAATGTTAGTATATTGATGTGCACAATTAACCAATTTGTTTTTGTTGTAAACTAGTTTTTAATATATGAAAAATTAAAATAGTTTGAATATTCCACTTGGGAGTATTACTGCTGCCACCATCGGTATTGGGAAAAAAGTAGGGCTGGCCAATAATTAGCTAAGGGTGGCCATGGCCACTCCTGGCCCCCCATCTAGCTCCGCCCCTGGCCCTGCGATGGATTGGTGACCTGTCCAGGGTGTACCCTGCCTCTTGCCTGTAGACAGGTGGAGATAAGCAGGGATAAGTGTGATGGAAAAATAGGTGGATGTGGAATTGTTTTTCTTTTCAGCTTTTTTATTGTGAATTCACAAGCACAGTGCAACGAAATGATCTTTCTTCAACCCATCCCACTAGACCACACTACCCCCTACTTATATTTTTATTCTTATGATTGCTGATCAGTTATCTGTACTTTACTATTCTAAGGAACTATGTTGAAACTATGTCGAAATATGTGATCCCAGACTGTATAAACTAAATCCTCATGCTCATACATATACATGGTTTGTTGTTGTTGTTTATTTTTTAATTGGGGGGGTATTAAACTGTGTTTAAGAGAGACAGTGATAAAATATAACTGAACTTCTCCTAAAGATGTATTTACATTTTTTTTCTAATCTTTTGCAGAGATTAAAATATTAAAACCTCTCCTTTGACACTGGCTGACAAAGACCTTTTTGTACTTTTCCAGCCCACAATAGAGATTCTCATTGTGCCCTAAACTTAAAGGGTAGAATGAAAATGGAGTTTCAGTACTGACAACAGGATGATAACATATGAACAGATTTTAAAAATGAACTGATGCATACAATACAGTCCGATTCAAATATTGCAAATGATGCGTTCATGTTTTGCTTCTTAGATTACGTGTTTTAACCAAGCCTACTTATAATATTATAAAATTGTTATACAAAAGGGGCTTAATATTTGTCAAAACAAAAGAGAAACAAAAAAGGCTCAAATGCATTTGTGATTTAAAAAAAAACTATTTTGTATTCCTAAACATTTCTACCTCGGAAGCTCACTGGTCTAAAATAAATCAAAGCTCTCAGCCAGTCACAATCCAGAACAGGCCGTGTTGTTACCAGGGGCAAAATGTGTTTGCCCAGATTCAGAGCAAGTAAATAAACTCATGTTGATTTTTGTTACACACTGCTTGTTCAGTCCAAATAGCAATGCAGTAAATAATGTGTACCTCCTGTCATACAACATCATGTTCGTTGCTTAGTAGTCAGGAAAGATGACATCTCTGCAAGGCATAGTTTGGCTTTTTGGAGGTGAGGATGTGTCAAGTAGTCTAGTTATGAGCTGTCTGCATTTAACCTTTAGTGAACATTAATCAGTAGGAATTCTTTTAGAGAAGTGAAACTAACATCTAGTTTCAAGATTGGAGAGTCTTGGACATTTCCAAAGGGAATGCTGGCATTGCATTTCTTGTTCTTAGTTTAATCTATGAAAATGCTAATTCTATCAGCTTTCAGGTATTTAGAACCAGGTGAAAAAAGAAAAGATGGTATGTAGTGTCCATTCTGCCTATTCTAAATCCTAGTGAATGAAACACTAAAGCTTAGAGAGTTGTGTTTATAATCTAAAGATAGAAAAGAAAAAGAAGTGTGGGTATATTTCATTGTTTTCTTTGAACTGTAGGGAACATTAAAACTTGATTAGAACTCTAAGATATTCTGAACCATCCTCCTAATAGCTATGGAACCTTTGCCTGTGGTTTGTTTGCTCTTCAGGTACCCTTCGACCTGTACGACGTAGCTTCTACGATCCGTCTTCAGCACCGGGCCAAGGTTGGTTGTGGGAGTGGGAGAACGACGCTGGCAGTTGGGTCGCATACGACACAGAGGTGGGCATTGCCATCCAAGCAGCTTGTGACCGCCAGCAGCCCTGGTTGGACCTGGCGCCGCTGGGATTTTGCTATCTGATTGACTTTGAAAGCATGACCCAAATCAATGGGCAGACGCAGCGCTGCCGACGAGTCCAGAGACGTGCCGAT